TAAGTTTTAAAATGTGACAATAAGTTAATATTTTAAAATAAGTAACTTTATACCTAGAAAAGCATAGGGAGTTGTCACTTATTTAAATGAATATAAAAAGAAAGAAAATTAATTAATGGCAACTCACTTAGAATGTATTTTGTCTTCTAATGGTTTATCTTTGTTGTTTTTAACGTTTGCATTGTTTACAGTTTGACTATTACTGCTAAATTATAATCGATTTTATAATAAATTTTGAAAAGAACGCAAATTAATTAAATCAAAGACTTTTTGGTTAATTAGGATTGTTTTTAACGTTAAAGAGAATACTTTTTTTTTGTTGATTGAAATATTAATATTAGCTCATCCAAAGTTTAAAATATAAAACTGTAATTATAATTTTTATCCAATAAGAATTCTACATTCAGTGTAATAAAAAATCGCTATGACATCACTTTTGGACTTTATAACCAACACTTCTCTTTCTTTTATTTTCTTAAAATTAAAATATTTTCTTATTTAAGCTCGATACTTCAATTTTAAAAAAATTAGAACTGATTGAGATTACTATGTTTGTGATTGCTAGATATTTATTCTTACTCCCAAGTATATTTAATAACAAGAGTTTAGTGGATATATGTTAAAATTCTAACTACGGGGAAAATAATTCAATGAGCATTTTATTATTTAAAAGAATTACTCGTACATCTTTAACAAGTACTCCTAAAACTTTGGGGAAAAGAGAGGAAATAAGGACACATACACCAAGAAAAAGAAAATAAGGACTACCAAACATAAATTTTTATAACAAAAAAAATACTCGTAAACCCAATATAAAAAAATACTCGCGAAATGATTAGAATTCAATACCTTAAATCTAAATAGAGTTTATATATGAAGGACTCCAATTAAACAACATGATTTTTTAGATCAAAGTCCTAAGAGTTAGAAAAATAATTAAGCGATTATTCTTAAATATTAGAAAAATAATTAAATGGCGTTTCCTACAATTTAGGAAAATAACTTAAACTATTATTTTGTCCAACGTGAAAGCTAGTATTAAAGGGTAAAAATACGAACCATTGCGCGTGAACGCTATCTAGATGAGTATAAACTATTAAAATATTACATAATTATTCTATTAAAAATTATGTTTGAGTGATAAAATAAATGTTGTAGAAAAATATAAGTTCTTAACAATAGTAATTGTTGAACCTATCTAGTTAACACAATAAGCAAAGAAACTATACCCCATATAAGCCCTCAATCATGTCAGTCAATATATTCAACTTAAAATTTTTATAATATGATTACATTAATTTCACAAGTTATCATTCTTCGTTTTTAGTTTTAGCAAGAACACATTAATCCTTGAGCATTTAAATTATTATGTAAAATTTATTTGAAAAGTTATGTATTCTTAAGTTCATTATAAAAAAGACAAATAATTTAACTAACTGACAAAATATGCCTTTTTTCTCGCAAATACAAATTGTGCTATATACTTTAATTAATAAGAAAAAATATATTAATTGTTTTCAATAAATTAGTAAAGAACCTAGCGTCTATGATTGTAATAAAATTATATGCAATTCACGGGTTCCAAAAAGACTATGCTAATACTATTCTAGAAGCAGTAAAAATATAAAATACATGTTAAAATTAAAATAAGGTTTAGTTCTACAAGTTAGACAAATATTTTAAACGTGGATTTACTTATTGAAGAAAAAAATTAGTTTTTCAAAAGGTATAAAAGTTGGTATATAGATCAATTTTCACTATGTGACAGTTAACTCTATATAATTCTCTCTTTAAAATTTTAGGTTATTAGGTATTTTAAATACTTATACTTATTGTTATGTTAATTTTCTTGAACATGAGCAATTACTTTTTATCCTTTCAGAATATTTATTTTTAAATTCAAAACATGACAACTAACCAAAATGTTAGTTTTCAAAATAATTCTTCCAACTAACACTAACTAATTTTTTTAAAGCCAAAACCTTCGTTGTTTTCGATAAATACAATATTTGGCTTGTTATTTTATTTTAAGCTTCATTATTTATAAGAATGTTTTGGTTCGTTTGTATCTAGAGAAAGAAACATACTCATAATTACAAAGTTAATTTTGTACAAACGTTCTTTGAGTGGAATTAGGATTATTTAATCTATATGGAAGAATCATACTTATAATTATATGTTAGTACTTATTTTATTCGATACAAACAAGGAAAGAATTTACATAAATAAAAGCTTACTTGATTTAAATTCTTAAATATTAGGACTTTCTAAATAGTTCAAATAAGGAAATATTTTATAACTATAATTTTAGTTGATTTCAAAGTCCTAAATATTAGGAAAATAAAAAGACCTAACTATATTAAATTACTATTTTTGTCTAGTGTAAAATCTATCTTTAAATGACAATAAAGGTGAACGACATTTCGTCAAGTGTCTTCGTGCTTTTAATATAGTAGTATATAGATTGTTTCACATTTTCTAAACCACTAAAAAATGTTTATTTACATAATTAAATTACTATGTAAAAATATAATTTACTCGTGTACCACTTCAATAAATTACAAGTTCTTTTTCTAAGTTACTTACTTCATGTGCTACTCGTACTTATTTATTACTCCATCTGTTCCAATGGCATGTAATTTTTTTTTAAGTTTCTTTCAAAAAGAATGATTTCTTTTTAATTATTCTCACTTTTTTGGCCGAGAAATTTTCAATGTATATATATTAAAAAATATAATTTTTTTCTTTTTAATATATATCAGGTGGACTATTGACCCTTCCAGCATCAGGTCTTGAACGCAATTGATCAAATTTGCTTGGCCTCCAAGCCAAAACATTGCGTCGTAGCAATATATTCTATGTCCACATTTTGCTTTTCATGCCATTATGATGTCGACATCTTCTGACAATTTTGTACTACAAATATATTATTGCAAACATAAGATAAGATATTTTTGTAAACATAATAATATATCCATCGGATAATAACAATCAAGAGATTATCAAAATTCAAATTCGTGCTGCAACTAGAAATACTTTCTCTTGAACTATCCCTTAGCTAGGGACAATTTTCGTAAGACAATGTTATTCGAGTCAGTATGCACACACTTTGATTATTACTTTCTATCAGTATAAAGATCGCTTGACTATTTCGTGAGGTACGTGCTATCTCCCACTAATAAATTGCGAGATAATTCTGTCCATCAAAACTTAATTGTAAATGAAAAAAGATTATTTAATATTTTTATCTCCGTTAAAATCAACCTGAGACCTTATCGTTCTCCTCCTAATTTATTAGCCGCTTAGAGCATACCATTAGCATGTGTATGATAGTAAGGTAAGAAAAGATATAACCAAACCAAATTCTACAAAATATACAAAGAGTAGGTCAATAGGTCATTGAAGAGTTCACATTGTAATCTATGGAGAGTTTGAAATGGCAATTTTCTTTCTAAAATGGAGGAGCTGGAATCTTAAGTGGAAAGCAGCACGTCCCCCATTTTAATTTATTTAATTGTGAAATAAAATGAATAATCAAGCAGACTGATCCTTTTCTTTTCTTTTTTTATATTCTTTCTGTTAAAAAAAGGACAACTATAATACAGAAAAAGATAAGCAAGAATTAGTAATTTAAAGGACGGTAAACTTGGTCGGCTCTTCCAATAGCCAACAAATATACACAGAATAAACAGACATTACAGTCTTAATCAAATTAGTGCTCAAGATTCGGTAAAGACACATCATGTTTGGCAGGCATGAGATTGTAGGTAATGTTTCATTTGTCAGCAACATTTGCAATGAAAGACTTAATGCGGGGTTTGGACATAACAATTATAAAATTCCAAAATAGGAAAAAAAAAAAAATTAAGCGAAAATGGTATTTGAAATTTAAAGTTGTGTCTGGACATGAATATAATTTTGGGTTATTTTTGAAGTTTTGTGAGTGATTTGAGTGAAAATTTTGAAAAACAACATTTTGGAGTTTTTAAAATTTTCAAAATGCATATTCAAGTGAAAATTGAAAATTTTATGAATAAATACTGATTTCGAAAAAAGAAAAAAAAAGTGAAAAAAAGAAGGAAAAATCTCTTATGTCCAGGGCTCTTAATCTGTGCTTAATTAGAACAAAACCCTGAGATCCCGCAGTTTTATTCCTAGAATGTTTCCTTGTTTCTCTGCTAATCACTCACTTCCCCTAAATGAGGTCTGTATCAAACGTAAAAGTTAAGCAAACCCAAGCAAAACATTTTGATCTTTATTGTTACTTCCTACAGTTCCTAGTGACATGCGTGTATCTTAAGCAAACAATATGTAGCTATTAATGTCTGCTCATGTGAGACAAGAATGCTCGGTTGCTTACACATTGATCCTTAACCAAGAAATTTAAATATGTACTCTATGCTTGACTAAAAAATGCTGCTCTTCTCTATTTTAAATATTAGTAATTTTGACAAACTGAATTTGTTTAAAATATTTGACGTTTTAGAAAAACAAAAAATCATTTATTATTGTCTTTTTTTCTTCAAAACTACCATTGTTGTTTCAACTAGTGAAGTGTTAATTAAGTGAAATGTTTAAAGAGAGATAAATGATAATCGGACAAATACTCTTATTATCTGTTAAGTATCTTTCTTAAGTAGTGGGCAAAAATGTTACAGGAGGGCTTTTGTTTTAAGGAAACAAATCGCAGAACAAATAGCAGTTGCTAAGTCAAGGCCATCAAAAGGAGAGATTTAAGGGATTTGGGTTTGGATGCTGAGGAGACGAGCAGACACCAACATTATTAGTTTTGGTCTAACTACAGCAAGTTATCCCTCACTTTTATATGGAAAAAAGGAGATGGAAAATGAAATTTTCAGAATAATATCTTGAAACACATATTGTGTTAATATTTACTTGTCATTTTCTTCTGTATTTCGTCCTGTGACAATTTTATCCCCTTGATGTTGTTCCTGGACGCAAAGAGAGCATTATATTGTGGGCTTGTCATTACCACTACATTAGCTAAAAATGACTTCTTTGCTCATTGCAAAAAATGAGAATAACAAAATTTCATGTCTAATATCTCCGCGTAATCTCCTTTTTCTTTCGAGTATCTTTAGAGTTTACAGTAATCATTTTAACAAATTAGCTCCTTCTTCGTCAAGCCAATGTCAGCCTAATCAGATTAACAAAATCCTAGACAACAAAAACTAGGAGAATAAGAAGGAATCACCAATCCAGTGCCACTATAAAAGAAGACTCGCTGTCAATCTTCATCCATTCTAGCGTTTTCTGGATTTTGCTTAGGGAACAGTCCTGGTGAAACATGGAAAAGCTGCACCTTTACCTATCAGTATTAAACCAAACTTCAGTGGGAAGCTTGCAAATGTGTATAAATAAAATAATATTACAAGAGAAACTCCACAAGGGAGGAGGATGGTATACATGGCTTTTCCACTGATAACAAACGTTTTGAGATGGAAATGCAGATAAAAAGGAGATCCTGCATCTAGCCATACAGAAGACGGAGGCATTTAGAGCTTTCCGTCTTTTAGAGTTTACCTGACAGTAAGTTATAACTCTTTATCATCACCAGCCTCAGCTTTTGTGGCGGCTTTCTCTGCTTCTTCTAATGCAAAAATTTTCAGCGATTCAATGTCTCTTGGTCCTACAGCAACAGATGTAAAATACAGGATTTCAGGTCAAATACAAGTTAATGGGCATGCAGTGGCGAGACCAGCTTATCGCATTTTATGGTATTACTGTCTTAACGTTATGATAGATGCTAAAGGAGCTAAAAGGATGTTTTGATACAAGTGGGATATATGTTAACAATTGTCTTACCTATATTTACAGCTTTTTGATGAAGTAGCAGTGAGTACTTAGCAAAATATTCATTGATATTAAAAGATCCTTGGGTCCTTTTAGTCAGCTTCAGTATAAGACATGATCAAACCATCTTAAGTCGCCCTATGTGCTTATTTCTAACATTTTCCAATCTTGTGTGACCACATAACAATCTTAACCTCCGTAATTCTACAACACTAATCTTGTTGATATGTTGAGCCTTATACGCCCAACTTTCATTCCCGTATAACGTTGATATTCTCACTACCTTTTTATAGAACTTGTCTTTCGGAAACAGCCTCTATTCCTTCATAAGGCAGGGGTAAGGTCTGCGAACACACTACCCTCCCCAGACCCCACTGTGTGGATTGCACTGGGTTTGTTGTTGTTGTTGTTGTCATTCACTTTTTAAGTTAGCTTTTTATCGTATAGCACTCTTCCATTTCAACCATATTATTAAGTCTATGTCACATCTCCATCTATCATGTTTTCTTTTTGACGACTAAGCTTACACATCCACATTGTTGTGAAACAATAGTAACATTACAAGAACTAAGCAATTAACAAAAATTTAAAAAATAAAGAGAATAAATACTAGTAAGAGCACAAAAAAGTAACTTTTCTTCTTTCAAATGTGTGTTCTGCCTATCTCAATTATCAGGCCTTTTATAGGAAAGAAAGGTGAAAGATAGCTTGTAAGAATCACCATCGCACAGTGACAAGGATGGACATATAGCATGGGAATCCATCCATAAATTATTTACAACACTCCTCCTTGAATGGCCATGTAGAAAAAGAAAGATATGCCTCGTTAAGACCATACTAGGAAAAAAACCCACTGCAAAAATATTCTAGTAAAAGAAAAGTAATACTACATAGTTATTAGTAATATACATTGCATGTTGCTTCATTAAAAACCTTACCAGAAAAACTCAACGGAAAAGGGTCATATATATCCCTTTACTATCAAAATAAGTTATATATACCCTCCGTTTCACTTTCTTAGTATCCATATCCCTACCGTTATACTTGTGGGTTCAAGATACCCCTCGCCCGTTAAATCCCTCAAAACTTAAAAATGACATGTGGCACGCCCTGGTTGCACTAAAATAACCCGCCCTATTTTTTATTAAACCCCACCTGATCCAACTTATTTACCCACCCGGCCACCCCCGTCCGAATCAACAACAACAACCCAGTAATATCCCACGTGTGGGGTCTGGGGAGGATAGTGTGTACGCAGACCTTACCCATACCCCGGGGTAGAGAGGCTGTTTCCGAAAGACCATTGGCACAAAGAGATGAAAAAGAGGCAAACCCCAGCCCGAATCCCCCGTACTTAAATCATTCTCACCCCCTTATTATCTTTGTTTTATTTCAGTGATGATTCAGAATAACAGTAGCAACATTTGATACAAAGTGTGTTGTTTACTCCTTAATGAACTCTTCTTCTGCTGCTGATGATAAAGAAGATTCTCTTGATTTTCCTCTTCTTTGTTTTCACTACCCATTAGTACTCTTGTTAAAGCCTTGGTATTCTCCTTTTGATGACAAGAAATTCCACAATGCTTTTTTGGGTTTGTGATGCTCTAATGTGGAATGTTTTACGATACCTTCAAAGGAAGAAAGACTTCAGAAATTTGAATCTAGATATATTTTTCGTTGTTGGATTTAAATTTTTTTTAATTCAAGAAAAATATGAAAATAAGTTTTATAAATTTCTACTTATGAAATTATCAGTTTGTAAGCGAAGTTCTTGTGTAGTTTAATTCTCATATTTCTCATCCATCATTCTTTGGGATAAGTTTAAGTTCTTTCTTTTTTTTTCTTTTTTTTTTGTGAATAAGTTGAAGTATTAGTATTTTGAAATACAACAAATTACTTCCAATTTCTTTTTCTCCCAAAACAAAGGCATCATCTGCTGCAATAAGGGGGATTCGGATGGAGGTGAGTAAAGAAGTTGGGTCGGGTGGGGTTTATAAAATAGAATAAAAAATGTTGCAGGTTATTTTAGTGCAACCAGGGCGTGCCACATGTCGTTTTTAAGTTTTGGAGAGGGATTTAACGGGTGAGGGGTATTTTGAACCCACAGGTGTAGAAAGGTGTGGAGGGGATTTAACGGGTGAGGGGATTTAATGGGTGAGGGCTTACCGAGGACATGACACTCGATAGAAAGGTGTGGAGGTCGAAAATTAGGGTGGTGGGTTGATAGACAGTCTAGAGTTTGCCTTGTCTTACTAGTAGTAGTTGTACTAGCCAGGTACCTTCCTATTCCTAGTCCCTTGTTTATATACGGTATGTCAGTATTAGCAGTGAGATTGGCACTATTCTTATTGTTTCATTTCCTTGGATCTCCATCATTATTCGTTGTATTATTTGCTTACACTATCTTATTACATTGTTGTTGCTATTGTTTATTTATTACTCCATTTTTTTTACGTTCTTGAGCAGAGGGTCTTTCGGAAAAAGTCTCTCTACCTTCATAGGTAGGAGTAAGATCTCCGTACACACTACCCTCCCCAAACCCCACTTATGAGATTCCACTGGGTTGTTGTTGTTGTTGTTGTTGAAGTGTAACGGGTAGGGGTATGAATATTAAGAAAGTGAAACAGAGGGTATATATAACTTATTTTCGATAGTAAAGGGGTAAACATTACTGATTGTCTTAAAGATATGCATTCCAATCTTGTATATCAGCTTTTCAAATGTTGAGATTGACAATTCTTTAATGAACATATCCGTCAAATTATCATTTGAAAAGTAGAACATCAATTTCACCATTCCTTTGAAGATCATGAGTAAAAAAGAATTTTGGTGAAATATGTTTTATTCTATCTCATCCTCCTTTTAGTTGAGCTATGCATGCAGCATTATCTTCATACAATGTAGTTCGATATTCCTTTTGAAAGGAAGACCACATGTTTCCTGGATGTATTGAGTTATTGATCCCAACCAAATGCATTCTCGACTTGCATCACGAATGGCTATTATCTCGGCATAATTTGAAGAAGTAGCAACCATAGTTTTGCTTTGTTGAATGCCATGATATGGTTGTACCTCTCTACATGTAAATAAAAATAACTTGTTTGAGACAGTGTTTTGAATAGCAAGAGGCGACAAAAAGCGACGAGTGCCTGCTTCACTGAGTTTTGAATTGATTGCAACTTTATTCACCGGTTTATTTAATCGAAAGAGAAATATTTTGGTTATTATCTTTGCATTATTTTGTTTGGTTTAAGTCAGTGACTCTTTTAAGTAATCGGAAGAGCTTGTTGAATTGTTAATTAAATCAAGTTAGGAGAATATTCGAGAGACATTTCCCTAAAGACTAATCCATTAACGCGTTCTTGCATGTTTCACAGTGCCTTATATTAGTTCACCTCGTAGAGTTAAGATTTAAAGAGAGAGGAGTCTTGGCTACACGTTTGAACTAATCATCGAGTGAATTCGTGAAAATCATTAGAACATTAGAGTGAATTGAACTAGAGTTAGATCCCGAATAGCCATCTTGCACATATCCTGTCACGACCCTTATTTCTCCTATTAATTATTTCGGTGTTGCTCAATTCTTGTCTTTCTGTGATCAATTGTTAATTGTTTTAGTTTAATTTTAGTTATTAATCATCCCAACCAAAGTGTTAATCATCCTGAATAGCGTTAAGCTAGAAATTACTTGAACGTTGTTTAAATCCAATCCTTGAGGAGACGATAATTAAACTATACTATCTTTGACTAGCGAACATCAATTTCGTGTTGTGTTTTGCGCTCGTCACTTGCCTCCACCCCAAATATGTTTTAGAGTTGACACAGCTTCACTATTATCCTAATAATTTCACATTGTTCAAAAATTCATTCACTGAACAAACCAAATTTAAAGTATGATGTAATCCTTATATTATCACACTAACTTTAATATTTCTTCTACACAGACTGATTTTTTTAATAAGAAATTCTACGGGCACTGATATAATCACAGGTCAATTTAGAAAAGCAGATACAATTGGGAGTAGCAAAAGAAATCTAAATTATGCATCCTTGTAACTTAAAATTTTAAAACGACTATGAGATAGTTAAGAGATGTTTCAAAGAAAAAACTCCTACCTTGGTACTTTGCAACTTCTTCTCCATTGTAGAAGAGTTTGAATGTAGGATATGAATGGATATCAACTTTGTTACACACTGGTTTGTGTGTACCACAATCAACTTGTCCCACCTCTATCTCATCCTCCCCTTCCATCGCTCTCCCTAAATCATCCCAAAGTGTTCCCAGGTTCTTGCTGAGAAAAGGTTTCAGAATTAGCAAAACGAAAGAACCTTCTTAGGACAATACAGCAATGGAAATATCAAGGACTAATTTTGTGATATATAACAAAATTTAAAAAATAAAATGAACCCAACTCAACATTATCTTACCAAATACATATTGGCTGCGGAATCATGTTTTTTCAGTTAACTAAGCCAGTCACAGACAGGTATATGCCTTGTGATGGACTAGTAAGTATGTTTTAAAGTCCTTGGACATCTATGATTATGAACATAAGACTAGCCTGTTCTCTTGAAAAGTATGGTACTGGCACTTGGGACTATTAGGTCTATCATCCAGTTAATTCTCTTACCAGTTGCCATATATAACCAAAAATATTAGTTAGCTACAAGTCAAAATGCCAAAAGCTACATGTGAAAATTTTAACTAAAGAAGAGTGTCAGTATGTAAAATACTAGATATAAAACTGCTAGATTTTTCAGCATTTCATTATCATCAGTTCTAAGAATAATGAAGATCTAACTAATTTGTATTTTTGATGTAATAACACTAAAGACATCGCAAAAGTTTGAGTTAACAGTGGTTCCAGAGGTACTTCACCACTCAGGTCGCTCTGAAGCAGCACCGTGAAGTGTCCCTATCTCACACTGGCCTGGATGCTTTACAACAACAACAACATACCCAGTGTTATCCCACACCGTGGGGTCTGGGGAGGGTAGTGTTTACGCAGACCTTACCCCTACCTTGCAAGGATAGAGAGGTTGTTTCCAATAGACCCTTGGCTCAGGAAAGCATAAGCACCACACTAATGAAAATATAGATAAGAAGGGACAGTACCAAAAAGACATATAAAAGCAGAATAAAAACAACAAGACAGTAAGGTGATCAACAATGAAAGAAAACAACGGTTAGTCATAAAAACGTACTACCAACAGAAAGCGAGACTGCGTGCCAATACTACTGTTATGAGCATTCTAGAGTACCTACTCTACTACCCTAATACTCGACCTACATACCTTCCTATCAAGGGTCATGTCCTCGGTCAGTTGAAGTTGCTCCATGTCTTGCCTAATCACCTCTCCCCACCTCTTCTTTGGCCTACCTCTACCTCTCTGTAGGCCCTCCAATGTCAACCTCTCACACCTCCTCACCGAGGCGTCTGTGCTCCTCCTCCTCACATAACCAAACCACCTAAGCCGCGCTTCCCGCATCTGGATGCTTTAGAAGGTAAAATTATTGGTTGAATAGTATCAGCATGCTGACATGAGTCACTAATGCAATTACCATCCTCTGAGTTGACCCAAACAAATCTGCAAACGACCAAATCTCTTTCCCACCAAACAACCAACATTCATTGGTGCCCTTTCCTTGACCAGTGGCACCACTGTTCGAGCGACCTCGGCAATAGTCATTGAACGAGAAGAACAAAATAGAGAATTTAAATTCTCAATTTGATCCATAAGAGTAAATAATTAGAATAAGGGATATTTCAGTGAACCACCCTCCACTTAACACTGACCCTTTATGTGGTTCAGTGACACTTAAGCCCCCTTCCCCCAACCCTTTAATTTCATTCATATCCTGATAGGCATATGTCATCGAAAATGGGTCACAAGAAGACCATAGAGTGAGAGTAGCCCTCTAAACTATCTTTAAGTTCAAATTCGTGACATGTATAATCTTTAAAATGGGGAAAATACTGATTCAATTTTATCCAATATGAAAATATCAAACAAGCTTCTTCACATGGCATTCCTATCACTATGTGGATTTTAGTCATATCAAATACATCAACAGTAACTTTCTAATGTAGTCTTCAGAGCCAAAGCATTATAGGTGATTTATTTTACCTCTCAGCATGAAATTGTCTCCTTCAAGAGACTTTGGCTTAGCATTTTTTTTCTTTTTTTCTTTTTGAGAAACGTGGAATGTTCATTAATCTTGGAAATTTCCTTTCCTTGTACTACTAGATGATAGTGTAAATGGGATTCCATATTAGCTAATCTTGACAATGAAATGATAGAATATTGGATCATTTTAACATAGCTCTTCCCTGTGGCCACAGATATAATCAGGCCCACCTATTTACAGAATATGCTTGAACTTGCAGTGAAGAGGCAAGCCACATTCATGCACTACAAGATTCTCAAAGCATCATGGCACCTTTAGCAATTTGAATTTGGAAAATGAGATCCTTCATGGATATCACAGAGTATCTATCTACGCTACTAATAGAGAAGGCTTTACGCATTCACAATGGCAGTTTGGACACCAAAATTACCGAGAACTTCCTAAATTTTCCTCACATTAAAGAACCAAAAAAGTAGCTAGCAGGCACAACTGGAAATTGAGTTGAGAATTCAGACTAGCCAACCATTTCTACAAGAGGAAAAGGGAAAACATTAAAAACTAAAGCAGACTAGTTTTGAAAGACTTACCAGTGCTTACACCACGGTACACAAAATTTGACAAACCATGCAGTGTCCTTCTCATTTATCTAAATGAAACCCAAAAGAACATGTGAGTATGGCTATGGACACCATTCAAAAAGTTGCACAAAACCACCACCAGCTAACTCAAGACTGCAACTATTGTTCAATTCAATGTTGAATACTACTTGATGTAAAAGAAATCAACAGAATATATAAAGAAAACTTAAATATTTAATTATGTGGCTGATTAAATTAGCTACATGTACTCTACGTCCACCAATGGATAATCACTCTTCTAAACCAGATCAACGGCAACAGGATGAACAGAGATTACAGATTACCTACCACGTGCAAACCACCAATATCATAATCATCAACCAGACCGGAAGTGAAAAAGGTTTTCTTTTTCCTATTTCATTTATTTTTCTTTTGAGTTACTAACTCCTGCTGCTGAAATGGTTTAGCCACCCACGTGTTACATAACCAATATCATAATCATCAACCAGACCGGAAGTGAAAAAGGTTTTCTTTTTCCTATTTCATTTATTTTTCTTTTGAGTTACTAACTCCTGCTGCTGAAATGGTTTAGCCACCCACGTGTTACATAACCAATATCATAATCATCAACCAGACCGGAAGTGAAAAAGGTTTTCTTTTTCCTATTTCATTTATTTTTCTTTTGAGTTACTAACTCCTGCTGCTGAAATGGTTTAGCCACCCACGTGTTACATAACCAATATCATAATCATCAACCAGACCGGAAGTGAAAAAGGTTTTCTTTTTCCTATTTCATTTATTTTTCTTTTGAGTTACTAACTCCTGCTGCTGAAATGGTTTAGCCACCCACGTGTTACATAGGCCTTCAGATGGTTTTTAGATGTGAAAACATGATGATTGAAGGTGTTAAAAAGATGAAGAGAGACCTAAAATCACATGGAAAGAAGTTGTCTCAAAAGATTTAGAATATCTGAGACTCCAGGTAGATCTAGCAAAAGATAGATAATAATGGAAGTTGAAAATCCATAAAGGTGATAGCAACTAGAACACTTGTGCTTACTAGAAGACTCTTAGTATATTAGTGATATAACGACTGGAGTATATTAGTGAATCCCTAGTGTTAGATAATTCTTAAGTACGCAATATTGAAATATTATTGAACCAAACAAAGCATTTATGATATTGAGTGTTGAGGATTCATACAGTCAGTCCCAACTAGCTTGGGATTGACGCGTCGTTGTTGTTGTTGTTACCAACTTCTAATCATATTACACAAAGAAAAATACGTATGAGATTGATATTCATACTGCCGGCCCCAACTAGCTTGGGATTGAGGCGTAGTTGTTGTTGTTGTTGGCTGAGATAGTATGAGACGCAAATGTCCCTATGATGCTCCTAATTCTTTCACGAATTTTTTTTCTTAAAATTTAGATCAAATAACCGGTTACCCAATATGGAAACATTCAATTTCCTACTTTGGCAAAAATAACCAAAAAATCAAACAAACTATAAAAATTAACAATAAACCAAATCAAAGTTAGATACCACTACTCAATAACCAATGAAATATCATCTCCAAACTAAAACACAAACAGTAAAATAAGAACAATAATTACTTGAAAACTCTAATGTACATGTTACAGGTCGTATAAACCCTAGTAGTTTTCTAGAAGGCAAATCTGATCTCTGATCTAAGAACAAGAAACTAAGCAGCTTTATCAGAAGCAAAAAAAAAAAAAGTTTATTTACCTTGTCATTAAACGTATCGGCTGTGAGGGTAATGACTTCAGCTCTGGCGATAAATATCGAACTTAACAAAAAGAAGCAACACAATAAGATAGAGACAAATGGGTGCGTACAGCGTTTCATCGTAGCACCAGAGTTTGATTCTAAAAATCGAAATTTCTGTTTAGCTGAAAATCTTCCAACTTATTGCTGGGGAATGAGGAATTAAAAGGAGAAATGGGAAAAAGAATGGAAGGGAAGGATGTTTGGGAATATTTCCAAAAGGTTATGGGCCATTTTAATTATACTGTTTCTTTTGTGGGTGAACTTCACTTTCGAGTTTGATCCCTTTAAGTTTTGACTAATGAAAAAAAGTATAAATAAATTATTTGTCTTTTACAACTTCTTTGGACGGTTGTTATGTATCGTTTCTTAATGTATTATATCATATTGTATTTGTATCGTTTTAATATATATAATTTTTGGATAGATTGTATTATTTATTGTCGTTTTGTGACGTCATGCGTCATCAAATGAAGAATAAACTTGCAATATTATAAAGAAAAATAAGGTACAAGATAAATTTATTATATAAAAAGGTAGGATAAAGGATAAAATTTAATTATTTAATTATAAGAAATGGCAAGATGAGAGAAAAAAATAAGGTAATGATGTGACCGCACCAAATAGGTCGTTACATAAAGTGACACTTTTTCGTTGTTACGTAACGATGGATTTAATGATACAATACAATCAAATTTAAGTAACAATCAAAACAAATATCGTATTTAAAATAACAATACAATACAATATAATATAACATGTACAACCATCCAAATAAGTTGTTAGTTATTATGTGCTTTAAAGGTAATTAAAGATAACTATAACTATATATATATATAGTATATTAAATTAAGACAAGTAACTTTTTATAGTATTTTAAAATACACTAATTGTGTAAAAGTACTATCAGTAGTGAATATAAAATAAATTCTTAATATAATAATCATTAACTGCTTGAAAGAGTTTGAATGTTCAATTATATACAAGTTGAAAAATGCCCAAAAACTTGAGAATGATTCTTGTGGATGGTAAAATATCCAGTTAAATAGACACATACAATGTTAAAATTAAATCGTAATAAATGAAACAAATGCAAGAATCAATGAGCAAAATGTAAAGAAAAGCAACAACATATCTCATTGATTGGTGCACCGCGATATATAAATGAAGAAATATGAATAGTGATGATGTATATAGCCAATCTCAACTTATTTGACATAACTTATTTCAGTATGTTTATCCGAAAAACAGATATAGTTGAAATTATACGTAATTCTAAGAATACGTGGTATAACTTGGTACAAATTGAAAAAATAAGTAGGGATATGTTGAATATTGACTGTAAAAAGGAATGAATACAAAGACCTAATTGAGTAGAGAATGATTGATAAATGAACAAGATGAATCAATATCAAAAGCCCAAAAAAGGATAATATTTGCTAGATGTTATGTAAATCTCAATAATCTCTGAATGTGAGAATGTGTGAATGTATATCAATCTCCCCTTTACAAATGTTAGCCACTCCTAATATAGTGGAGGAATTCTACTTTGGATATAATTAAAAGCACATAGTGGAGATCCCACAATAGATTAATTAATTGGCTTTTCCTTTGATTCAAGTCGTGATTTCAGTCGAGATTCTCTCTCCCAAGTGCGGCTATAACGGCTTTGTTATTCCTTGGCTCGGTCTCGATCTTGGTCGGTCTCTGGGTCTCGAGCTCGACCTTGACTTGATCTCGGTATTTGATCGGTCTCTGGATCTCGAGCTCGACCTTGACTCGATCTCGGTATTTGATCGGTCTATGGGTCTCGAGCTCGAACTTGACTCGATCTCGGTACTGATCGGTTTCTGGGTCTCGAACTCGACCTTCCAACTTCACATCACAACTCGATATTATAATGACGAATTTCGGTCCATCATGCTCCAATCTTGATTAGTCGCACGAAGGGCAAACTCGGTTTTGACCGTATACAGATAGTCCCCTCGTTTCTCGGAAAGAAGGTGGCGAGAAACGATATAATTTTTCAACCTCTGACTAGATACATATTGACGTCTGCAACGAGCCCGAATGTGATGTATGTGACAAATGTCTCGTCGGTCCAGTTACCAAGGCATTAAATGCACGTCAGTCGATGGTCGGCCACTGTCAATTTTGAACCGTCACTATGAAATCTATAAATAGCCCCCTTCTTCATTATTTTAAACTTTTACCTTCAAATCTCTTTTCATTCCAATCTTCACAGTTCTTCGCCTTCCCCAAAGCTCTCTATTTTCAGGCTTTGGAATTTCTTCGCTTGTTCTTCTCAAAACACCAAATACTTCACTCTCCCTTCTTCTTTGTTCATAAAAATTTAGATGGCAAAAATATCTAAAACTGTTCAGCAGAAAGAGGTTGCTTCCTCATCTCGGCCGGCCGGCGAGAAAACAGTGGTGGAGCAACGCCTTGAAGAGCTTGTTCCCGGGGAGTGCGTTATTGATTCCGATTTTATGGTCGAGAAACCCTCCTCGGTTGCTGGTCGATGCGAGCCGGTATCGAGATATATATGCTCGATACCAAAAAGCCTTCTTGACCTGG